CTCTGATTAAACACCACAGAAGTGAATAAGTAAATTCTAGAGTTAATTATGAACGCAGCTGAGCTACTGAATGTGTTAACGACTCCTAAATAAACCTATCATTAGCATTTTTTTTCTTTAAAGGAATAATTGAAACTTTGATATAGTTAATTGTGCTGAAGGGGGTTCTCTCTTAAACACATGTGGAGACCATCCTAGGAGAACTTTTAAAATACCAAGTTTGATTTGAATAAAAATGCTCCACAATGTTAGGAAATTAAATTAACTAACTTTAAATCTCATAATGGTCCACAATGATGTGTACCACACAGGAAAAAATCACACAAAAAGTGCCGTCCTGGTACCTGCATCACACATCATATAGCTGTAATATAACAAGAATCAGGCAATTCTAGTAAATCCATTGTATGCCATACAACTATAATATCACAGAAATCAGGCCATTCTGGTAGCTGCCTCGTCCGCCATGCAGCTATAATATCACAGAAATCAGGCCATTCTGGTAGCTGCCTCGTCCGCCATGCAGCTATAATATCACAGAAATCAGGCCATTCTCATAGCTGCATTGTTTGCCATACGGCCATGATATCACACACACACACACACACACACACATTGTGTTGATCATGTCCCTCTGGTTCTTGTACAAGGTAACACACCCACGCTAAGACCCACCAAGGAACCACAGCAGTGAGCTGAAGCAGCCTGCCTATTCTCTTCCTCCCAGCACCCCCCGGCAGGGACGGTCTAGGGAAGTTCCGCGGCATCTAAGTGGGGGGTGGGGAGAGGTCCTGATGGCAGGGGGGCTGTGATTTACATATGCCTGCTGCCGGCCAACAGAGGGTACTGTTGTATTACAATCGAAGGGATCTGAGGGCTCGGGAACCGCAATCACGGCAGAGCGACGGTTCCCTCTACGCAGTGCCAGCCTCTTTGTTTCAGTGGCACGGTGACGGATGCTGGCACAGCCGGCACCACCTCGGAACGGCATCGCCTCGGAACGCCTGGAACCTGGCTGCAGGGATGGTTCAGCTTGTGCCCTAAATAAAAATGACAGACAGAAGAGCCCAGACTGATGCTGGTGATGTCTGGGGGCAGGAGGATAGTGTTTGTTACGTTCTGGTCACTGTGACAGGTTCACCAAAAAAAATAGAACAAGCCCAACGACAAAGCAACTGAAAGAGTCAGGAGACAGTAACATCCAACACAAGACTCCAGTCACACATAAACAACAATGTCAGCATTAAACAAGTAAGTATTAAAACAGACCCAAAGCACAGAAAAATAAACCATCACTACTCACTCTGTGATATGATGACAGTTTCCTTCAGAAGCAAGATACTCATCCAAAGCTTGATTTTCGATGGTTTATGGAGATTTTTATATACTGTATATATATATATATATATATATACATACACACACACACACACATACAGTATGTGTGTGTGTGTGATCAAGGATAAACTAAAAACAAACGTAAATTGATCAATCAATCAGTCAATCAATCAAACACTCAGTCACTTAATCAACCAACCAATCAATCAAAATGTATTCAGTACGGTGCATTTTAACAAAAAAGTTGTTACTAAGCATGGTAGCTTCCAGAGGGAATCAGAAAGCAGAAAAACAATCTGCCATTATATGGGGGAAACTGAAGATCATTCCCTGACCCCTTGTAAGAAAAACAACAGAGTGATACTTAGGGAAAACAATATGTTTATGAATGCATAAATCAGAGATTACACTGAGGCTCATGTGCAGAATTCTGTCCCAGATCTATGTCTCCCAGACGCAAACAATGATGGAAAAACAAATCGTAAAACTGAAAATAAAATATTTTCATTCGCAAAAAATCTTACCATCACTACACAGAAAAAAAAACAGTCATTCGGTGGCAAGTTATTCATTGTGGACTTGGCTAATTTTTTGGACATGTGTACGAAAGAATTTATATGCAGCGTGGAATCATTAGAAAGCTTGCATATGTCTCGACAAACTGAAGATTCTCAAATCTATTGCTGATTCTTAGGTTGTTTAATCTGGCTTTTTATCTATCTATTAAATCAAATCACTTTGAACACAAGTGACTGGGCAAAGACGGATGTTTATGTGTATAGTACCACCTGGCATTAGGTGCTAAAAGAATGCCTGATGTTTGCTTAATTCAGACCGTGTTTTTCTAAATCTGTAAAAATCTGTGCATGTGTGCAATGACTGACATTCAAAGGGAATTATTACTCTGAAATATTGCAATCTTCTTCATCTACAACAATGTATGCAAATTAATAAGAAGATACACGGATTCTGAAAACAAATTTCTCCCAAAGAAGATTCCCCTTTCCTGGTGATGTTAGCTTGGAAACCAATGATTTTTTTTTTTTTGCACTAAAGGAGAACGTTAAAACACAGAATTCTGGTGAAAGAGAAACAAAAATATTCCAAAAGATTACGGCCACTAAATTAAATAAGTTGCTGGGTACAATTTTACATCCAATCAGTGATTAGATGTCAGTAAAAGGTGGAAGAAAATGGGTGATCATTTGATGGACTCTGCGAGTGAGATGTCAGACTGAACCCTGGCCTCAGTGAGAGGCTACTGACACGTCCATCGTGCCAAGGCCTGCACACCTCCTGCAGGCAAAGACCCTCACAGGCTAACATAAGCAGCTCCGCTGGACCTCAGGGTCGAATTCAGGCCACAGTCTGTGATCTTTGGGCACTGTAAGGTTTTGCAGTCTCTCCAAAATAATCACGTATGTAATAAGCAAATTACTGAGGGAGCCTCCAGTTTTTTTTTATTTTTTATACACAATAGTTGGACTGGGGCTGTGCAGTGTCAAGGCTGGCACTTTTAATAATGGGGTGGGGTGGCGTTGTGTTTGGCCAAGTTTTTATTACATTTATTTATTTAATCAATTTAAATATGGGCAATTATTGTTGACTTTCACTGTACACCAGAGCATATTAAAAACGTCAAGTAAAGCAACTAACACAGATAATCATTAATCTCCTCGACCGACACAGATTGTAAAAGGGCTCAACACCTCTTACCATTACATAAATTTGTCCTCATCGTCAGATCTATCCGTTTTCCCTCGACCAGCAATGCAAACGGGCGCCTCTCCAGCGCTGCCGGCGCACGCGGATGCCCCGACCGACCCCTTCCCTCTCCTCTCTCCTGTACACGTATAGGGTTTTGGAGAAACAGCGGTCCTAGTTCGCTTTAAAATTGTCATTTGAAAAATTATTTACTTAAATTCATGGAAAAAAAAATAAAATATATATATATATAAAACAATCAATCAAGGCTACCAAAAAATAGATAAAGCTGACAGTTGTATATTTGACGGTCCACGTAAATATCTTGACGTGAACATGGACCCTACTTTAAAACCGAATACGTGCCTTTTTATAGATATGTTTAATTTATAATATTCATACATATGTATTTGTGTAGAGCGGACTATTCCATTCGATAAGCATGAGTCGTAATTATACATTGGAGTTTTTTCCGCCATTTACTAGTTTTAGATAATTGATTACAAGATCAATTAACAAAGCATTTCAATCGTTTATTCTAAATTTTTATAATTTTCATTTTATCATTCTATTAATAACATTATAATAACAGATTATATCTGTACATTCTATTAATAATAACACAAAACACGGTAATCTTCTTAACTGATTTGGAGTACATTATTGTCCCTTTCCTCAATGAAATGAAGCGAAATATTTTACATGGATGTTAACCCTGCGTATATCCTTTTTCTTATGGATATGCGCGTTTGTCATCTGGCGATCAATCTTAACATTAATACATATGCTACATATAACGGAAAAATATTCAGAAGACAAAATAATGTCTTTTTATTCGTCATAATTCTTTTTTTTTTAAATCACATCATGTTTGTGATCTGTATTCCAAAATGCAGACGTATTTTCCGTTTGTTACTGTTTAGTTGTCGTATATTTTAAAGCATTTTGCTTTTTTCCGGCTGGAAAAACTTTGGGAAAAAGTGTCCAGTATTTTGTCGGCGGACCGTTCATGGTCAAACGCAATACTGTTACTGGCCTCAACGCTGAAGGCAAACGCGGCGTGGCTGCGTAACTGGGACTATGTCAGGAAACGGAGGGGAATTTACATAAATAAAACGTAAATAAAAACACCGAGCTTTTAAAGAGGGAACGTCTTAAACCATAATAAAATAATCCTGCATGCAAATCAGCAAGTTCTAGTCAAACGTAGATGAATTCACGTTACAGCACGAGGGTCATTACAAAGATGTCATGTAATCATGAATATCATGAAACAAATGTGTCTAAATACTGTTAACGGCCACAAGGTCTTATACGTTGACAAACCTACAGATATTTTTATGTTCTTATAATTGCTGTAAATATGTTTGTCTCCTGTCAATAGGCACATTGCATTTAAGGTGAATTCATATGAAGTGAGTCCCCGCGGTGGACGCAGCCCTTAGAGACGTGCGTAGCTGTCAGCCGCTGACCGCTGCAGCGCCTCTCATCCTCTAGCTGTGAAAGCCACCACTAGTCGCCCCCAGTGCTCCTGTAGCCTCTCACTGCTTCCAATTTCATTCTCACTAGACTTAACGTCACGTCCGCACTTGAACTTGAATTTTATCCCATTGTACAGAGTCAGCCTCAGCCACAGAGACACAGCGAGCGCCCAGAGTAGTGGGACTCCGCCATCTTCACAGTTAAAAGAAGAGAAAAAAAGGCTGCAGGTCTTGTTTTACTTGCAAAGAAAGGTGGAGGTCCTTGCGCTCCTCAGTGCACGACAAGGGAGCAAGTGTGAAGAGTTAGAGAGGCGGCACTGGGCGATACGAGCACTGAGTGGAGAAGAGGATCCTGAGATCGCTTGGCCAACCTGAGAGGACGCTGGATTCTTCTTCCCAATTTCCTAATTGTTTTATTTTTATTTAAGAGGCTAAATTCCAAGTCCACACCTCATCTACAGCCTTGTAGAAGACTGGTATTCAGCGTGACCAAGCTGTCAAATCGCAGCACAGGACAGCGCTTTTGATTGTCCAGAAAGGCAGGGAGAAGATTACAGAGGTTTGCTCACGCTTGTCACTCACAGGCGTAACACATCACGGATATTTATTTCCTGCTCTTTGCAGACCTCTCTCATCACACACCTTTTCTAGATGTTTTGACTTAGAGGACACTGAAGGGGAATCTGCGCGCCCCCAGGTCGGGTCATCGGAAGACCAGAGTGGTCTGCAGCCTCGGCGCGAAGGTACTTTCCGTCCTGTGAGCGAAGGAGCCGGGCTGGAAACAAGGAGTTCCCAGGAAAAAAGAAAAGTTACTGCAGGAAAAGGGAAGAGTAAAGCAGGAAAACCAGCGTCCCCAGTGCAGGTCTCCGGGCAATGCCAGTGTAGATGCGGGGCAATGTCCCGTCGCAAGCAGGGGAACCCGCAGCATTTGTCGCAAAGAGAGACAATACCGCGTGAGTACCTTTATTTTCTACAGCTTCTGAGAAGCATGCAGGAGGCGAAACAGATTAAAAACCACACCTGTTTCAGGACCGCTCCGTGTTTAAATTCCGTCTATTAGGAAAGATTCTCAAGTATTAGAGCGAACCACGTTAGCCTGTCTAAACAACACAATATAGAAAACGGAGACAAATATGTAAAGATATTACAGTGATTTTGATAAATGCCGCGTGATTATATAAACAGAAAAATATTAGCGTAAAATAGACGTAAAAGAATGTTATCAATAATATTATTAGCATTGTAATTGAATATTTTATCTATTAATACAAATAAAATATCTAGATACCCTTGAACAAAACAAAGAAATAAGTGTCTGATTAGTTTAATTCCACGTTATTTACATTATAAATTACACCAGAATTGTTCTGTGCTGGTTAGGCCCTACAAGACTAATAGAAATGTCTGCATGCAAGAAAAAATATAATTTCATGGAATGATATAGCGCATGCATGCCTTCTGGTTTCATGTTGTCTGTATTTATAATGGGTTTTAATTGGTTCAGGACTGGAAAACAGTGTACTTACATTTGGTGTGTGTCGTCTAAGTGCATGAGAAGTATTCTCAATTTACACATACACACACACACATACACAGGACTGTGATTAAACTGTACTTGTAACTAACTCTTCAGTGGAAAGTAAAACTCAAAGACTCTGCACATTTCACATTTGGCAAGCCTGCGACCATTTGAAAAATAAAATACCGAATTAGGATACTAATTTAGTACAGGTGCAATGTAAACAATACCACCATCACTTAGAGAGCGTAAGAAAACGGAACAGCTGCTGAACACACGCCGCAACCAAACTTAAGCGTTATGGGCCCCGCGCAAAGCACGGGCACAAACCGTGAATATTCATTTTATAACGACCTTAAATATATAAATATATAATATACTGTTTGTTTTTCCCAGGAATAGTAGAAGGAAATCTTCAATACAGCCGGAGTATCCGCTTTTGTTTGTGTAGTTTTTTTTTTTAAAAGCTTTTTTTTGTCATATTTACTATAGTTAATTATCACATTGAGATGCGTTGCTCTTGTATCTCAAAGCAGATATTTTTAAAACTTGTTCCAATACACTCACGTTGACTACATTGACGTTTACATTCTAGGGAAATGCGTTCACTCGTTTCATTGAAAGCTCCTTCGTGAAAAATACTCTTTACATTTATTTCGAGTCGAATTTATTGGCTTCCACCCGAACACATTAAACTAGTAGCTTCTTTCAAGAATATTTCATTTTCACTTCGGGTGAGGCCGCTGCCTGCATCAGAACTTACGCACACTCAAATCATTGCAATACTCTCGGGTAAAAATAACATGATCTATTTGATAAAGAAGCAGGTATTTCCTAAATGTATTTTTAATTTTGAACGTGCTATTAATTTCTGTGCGTGCTGTTGGGAGGTGCATACACGTAGCTAAGGTACCACGAAAGACGGATAGTTGTAAACGAAGCATGAGGGTAGAAATGCCATGAAAATCGTAATTCCTGTTGATCTGATTACATTATGAACATTCACACAAGTCTGTATCAATTACCGGATCGGTAGAATGCATGTGAATAATTCATGTTTAAATGAGCTCTTTTAATTGCTAGTCTTTGCATAAAGTCGCGTTTCCTCATGGTTACTCAAATAAATGTAATATTGTGTTCATATACCTTATGAAGTAGGTTGCAGCTTTTGACTCTCTGTCTCATAATTATCAAGAGAAGAGGAGTAACGAATTTAAGAGGACCAGGCTAAAATCAGTCAGGACACTTCAGCATTTTCCAAGCATTTCCAGAGCATGGTCTAATCCAGCTAATTCATAACAGTTGAGCATGATGTAATCTCGCTCGGATCTGTTTTGTGTTGTACTGGGTTTTAAACTCGTATTCTGCACATTCTGTCCTGCCTTCCATTCCTTTATTTGTAGGCTAATGATTTTTGGTGCATTTTTAACTGGGTACTACGTCAGCTCTCATAGCGGGGGCACGCTTCTGTCGGGGCAGGGTGGGTGGGTGGGTGGGCACCTCTCTTCATGCTTACTTATTCACTTACCTTTATTTACCTTGTTTTGCACGGTCCAGCACACGCTGGGCCTGAAAGAGGGGCAGCGTGAAGCCTCACGGTGGTCATCTGGAGGCCGCCGGCTCACGCGAGACACTCCGAAGGCACCTGCGGAAGCGGAGGCTGTTTACCGGGTGCGGGACGACCTGTCAGCACACTGAGACACGCCTTATTATTCCGGGGGGGGGGGGGAGGCCTCCGCCACCTGGGATGTCGCGAGTGTGGCTGGGCGTTGGCTGACGCAGACCACAAAGTATTTGGGGTTGCCGTGACGGCGCTGAGCTCCAGTGGCCCCCGGGCCCTTGGCAGCGTGTAGCTGAATACACAGTGGGGGCCACTGTCCACCTGTTTGGCCCGAGTCTGTTTAACTGCTGTGACAGGGCGGCACTGGACTACATAGGCAGGCCTGAGTGACCAGCTTAGCTGTGCCTAGTTCATTAATCAGCAAGCTTGCAGGATACCAACAGCTACGGTGCTTCTTTTGGATGTTAGCGAACAGACTCAGGAGCGTGGGGTTGTACGCGCAGAAATCCCTCAGGTGCAGCACTGAGGCTCAGCCTCAAACAGGAAGCTATCGCGTTTGTGGGGGTGGGGTGGGGGAGGCAAAAGCAAGGCTTCAGGGCTCATTGGGAGAATCCCCCCCCCCTTCGGAGGACGGTGCACTGAAAACAGGGCCGACCGTCCGGAGTGCGGTGGGCATCACACCGACAGCAGCACTGAAGGAGCCCCTGGACTGAGACTGATCAGTAGCTACACGACACACAGAAGGTCATGAGTGACACACCTGGGGTGCGGAACCCTGCTCTGAAATAAATTATTTAGAGCACATGAAGAAATGTTCAGCCTAACTTCACTCGTGACTAATTAATGCGACGGCCATGGGAATGCGACGCCGTCAGGGTGAAATGCTGAAAGGTACTTGTGGTCACATTTTTATTAAAATATCTTATTTCAAATTTAATCTAAGATCGAAAGTGTAACCTCAGGTTTCAGGGGAGGCCTTGAGAAAGTGGTAGAATACATACACACACCTGCCATTCAACACGTCGCTTGTGGTATTTAGGTCTTGCTAACCGCTATTCCTTCTGTGGATTAGCTTCAGGCAGCGCTTTGAGCAGCACATCTGAGCGCGGGTCTCGTGTGCAGGCAGCGTCCGCTATGCGCTGCGGCTCCTCGTGACGCGGGCAGCTCTGCAAACAGGCTCCACACCGGGGGCCTTTTGCACTGGTTTCTAGGGGGACACATTAGGGGAGGTTCTCTGAGGATGTGGCATCGGAACACGGCAGCTGAGCTGCACAGTCGCACGCTTAGGCCTTTGCTGCAATCAGCCTCTTCGGCCCGGAGCCTCTCCTCTGTTACGAAAGCTAAACGCAAACTCCCATTCTGCATTCCATCTTCTGCATGAATTCTGGCATTTATATGTACTGAGGTATAACTTTCCCTTCAGTTTATTTCAGACTAAACACATGTTTGAATGGCGAAAACAATCAAAAGATTATATACAGACAAATTCTGTGCTAGATTTTCTAAAAGATAAAAAAAAAAAAATCATCTTGTCTTTTCTGTCTTATTGATATGAAAAGGATGGCGTTCTGCAGAATTAATGCGACTTTTGTGGGAATAATCTGGTATGTAAAAAGTTTCTGACAACATTTCAGGCAGATAAAGCCATCAAAAACAAAAACAAACCGTTTATGCAGCTGGGGAAGGAGTATTTAAATGATGTTGGCGTTTTATAATCCTCTGGATTATAAAACATGTGTTGTGTAATTTAGTTTAATAATGTTTGCCATTAATATTATTTCAAAATGTGCACTGAGTTTGTCCTCTAATAAATGCAGACCTGTGTCGGATTTAAACCTTTGCAGCCTGATCACTAGAAATGCACAGTAGGCGGGACTCAAACACCATGCCTAGTAACTGCCGCTGACACCTCTCTGCTTCACACTCATCTCCATACTCACAGACTGTTTTTTTTGTAAAAGAAAATCTTTTTTGTTGCATTCAGCACAAGACTCATAATGGTGTTTTTTTTTTGGGGGGGGGGGGGGCAGTTTAAAAATTATATATAGTCTTATTATATATATATGTGTATATAATTTTCCATATGTCCTGCTATTAGTCAATCTCAGTGGTTCCTGAGGGTGCAGTTGCTGTACCTACTTTGACCTGCTAGGGGGAGCTCTGAGTCTGTGAGTCGGCCTGCTGTGTTGCTGTATGGGCATTTACATCTTGTAAATCTTTCGTTGTGCTGGGGGATGGGTGAAGAAACTTGTAGGTGGCTTTTGACCACTGTCTACTGAGATGTTTGTGCTGATATGTCCAAAACCGCACCCAGTGCAGAAGAAAACTGCTCATGTCCTTGCGGGCAGTGCTTCGGTGCCCAGCCTCTTTCACGGAGCCACTGTTTCTCTCGCACGGCTCCATGATGTTAATCTGCTCCTTACCTACAGACCTTGAGCTTCACGGAGCCTTATTTTATTTGCTGATTTTCAATACTCTTCTGGCATTGGCAGGACAGTACAAAGATCTCCCAGTTTTTACCTTGTTTTCAGAGTGTTACTGAATTGCTCTCCATTTTGAAGGCTACTGTGACACAGTGTGTAAAATGGAAAAGATGCATTTGTAATTGTGCGGCTGTGATCTCAAGGTTGACGTTTGCAGTGTGTGTGAAATCAGTGTAGACTTTGCCTTTAAAGTCCTGAAGTTTCCCCTTCCTTAATGTGTGAGTTCAGCTCTGACACTCAGTGTCTTCCTTTGCTCTGGGAGAAGAGCATACATTTTCTGAAAAGCAACAAAAATATTTCTGTACATTACTGATTGTTTTAATGCTGGATACCAAAGTAGCAGCGTCTAAATGCCGTACTGTGGTGTCCAAGCTTCCATCCTCCTGCCCGTCTCCCATTGACTCTCTGCTCCTAAGTCTCCCCTTGTCAGTCTCCTCCTCCGTGTCTCCCCTTGTCAGTCTCCTGCCCGTCTCCCCTTGTCAGTCTCCTCCTCCCCGTCTCCCCTTGTCTGTCTCCTCCTGCCCGTCTCCCCTTGTCANCCCCTTGTCTGTCTCCTCCTGCCCGTCTCCCCTTGTCAGTCTCCTGCCCGTCTCCCCTTGTCAGTCTCCCCTTGTCAGTCTCCTCCTGCCCGCCTCCCCATGTCAGTCTCCTCCCCGTCTCCCCTTGTCTGTCTCCTCCTGCCTGCCTCCCCTTGTCAGTCTCCTCCTGCCCGTCTCCCCATGTCAGTCTCCTCCCCGTCTCCCCTTGTCTGTCTCCTCCTGCCTGCCTCCCCTTGTCAGTCTCCTCCTACCCGTCTCCCCTTGTCAGTCTCCTCCTGCCCGTCTCCCCATGTCAGTCTCCTCCTCCCTGTCTCCCCTTGTCAGTCTCCTGCCCGTCTCCCCATGTCAGTCTCCTCCTCCCCTTCTCCCCTTGTCAGTCTCCTGCCCATCTCCCCTTGTCAGTCTCCTGCCCGTCTCCTCTTGTCTGTCTCCTCCTCCCTGTCTCCCCTTGTCAGTCTCCTCCTCCCTGTCTCCCCTTGTTTGTCTCCTCCTGCCCGTCTCCCCTTGTCTGTCTCCTCCTGCCCGTCTCCCCTTGTCTGTCTCCTCCTGCCCATCTCCCCTAGTCAGTCTCCTCCTCTCTGCCTCCCCTTGTCAGTCTCCTCCTGCCCATCTCCCCTTGTCAGTCTCTTCATGCCCGTCTCCTCTTGTCAGTCTCCTCCTCCCTGTCTCCCCTTGTCTGTCTCCTCCTGCCCATCTCCCCTTGTCAGTCTCTTCATGCTCGTCTCCCCTTGTCAGTCTCCTCCTCTCTGCCTCCCCTTGTCAGTCTCCTCCTGCCCGTCTCCCCTTGTCAGTCTCCTCCTGCCCATCTCCCCTTGTCTGTCTCCTCCTGCCCATCTCCCCTTGTCAGTCTCCTCCTGCCCGTCTCCCCTTGTCTGTCTCCTCCTGCCCATCTCCCCTTGTCAGTCTCCTCCTGCCCGTCTCCCCTTGTCAGTCTCCTCCTGCCCGTCTCCCCTTGTCTGTCTCCTCCTGCCCGTCTCCCCTTGTCTGTCTCCTCCTGCCCGTTTCCCCTTGTCAGTCTCCTCCCACCAGTCTCCCCACTGCCAATGTCCCCCTGCCCGACCCCCTTTGCTAGTTTCCCTGATTGTGCTTAGAGCTGACTGTTGAGCCCAGCTGTGCCATTCTGTGGCAAATTAACCTCACCTTACCTACACCTCTCTATTCTCCCATTCTAATTATACAGAGACAGGCATGCACAGGTACCTAGGGCTGGGCGCCAACCGGGTTACTCACACGGAGGCCTGCATTCTGAACCTAATTGCCTGTATGTACCCCAGCTATTAACATACTAAATATAGACTGTAAAAAAGTTACACACAAATGATCATTTAATCTGATGTATTGACAGCAAGGGAAGCACTCCTGGCGAAAAATGTATCATTGCTTTTTCTAGTTCTCCTGATTTTTATGCTACATACCTATATGTGTGTGTTTCACACATGCTGTGATGCGATTGATGATTCAGTTGTCCCTGAGTAATTCTTTGGGTCAGTATGTGTGACCTGCGGATTGGGGGAATGCAGTGGTATCAGAGAGGCCAAATCACACTCCTCACCGCAGTGTGTCTGAACGGTCCGGCTCCTGGCTGGAAGCTCATTGTTTGGGCCACTATGTTATACAACTGAGCTACACCTTCCACTTTCTACACAGTTAGAATGTCTGTGATTGACCTCTGTCTGTGTAGGGCATGTGTCCGTGTGTGAGCAGAACACCTGCTCTGTTTGGGGGGGGGTGTGTATCAGGTAAATCTGACTAGACCCCAACGCCCACCCCCTCAACACACACCCACTGCGCTAAATGTTTATTTCTGAAACATAAAGCTCAGCTCATAATTTCATGCAGAATTACAGTCACATTTAAAACATAATCAGCAAACTGTACAGATTTTGTTAGTTCTCACAGTCTGACAGTGAAAGGCCCCTGATTCGTACGGTCCAACTTTGTTATTTAGAAGATGGTGTTTTTGCAACATACATCAGGGCCTGGAGGTGCAGACTGATTCTGAGCAGCCAATCAGGCATATCAGTCTTTTTACAACAAGTTGTGACTATGACCACGTGTCATGTGATCTATCAATGTGTCAGTCTCAGCTCCCAGATACTGATTGGCTCTGCATCTGTGAAAGGTGATCCGGTTCTCCCTGTAGATTAATATACTTCAGTATGTGTAGAGAGTAAGTTGGCAGTGGGGTGTTCATTTTTAGACACTAAATCTGCACGGCCCCTCTTTCTGACACCAGCGACGGAAATCCTATTACTGCACTGAGTCAGGACACTCCAGGGCTGCCTCTTATCCGTCATCCACAGGTTTTGGGTTTTGTGATTTATACTGAAAATTTAAACTGACGTGTAAAATCCATCAGAGTAACACAGAGGCAGGCAAACCTAATACTGTGTGAGCTTTATGAGCAAATCAGTAAAGAATATATATATATTTCTGTCTGTCTGTCTCTCGTCGTTTAACTTCATAAAGACAAACAGCATTTGCAGGCAGTGACAGAGGACCGGCAAGCGCTAATGAGGGCACTGGGGAAATCTTTGCCAATATGGTGCTTTTAGGAAGGAAGTTGTTTCAGTGCCAGAGACTGAAGGAGAGGTCTTAGTTTACCTGCCTATGCCGGCCCGAGCCGGGCTGCCCGTGTTGACTGGCAGGGCTGCAGTGCTGCAGATACGGCTCACTCACACCCCGTCCTCTTACCCACGGCAGACCCTGACCATGTGGACATCATCCCTGCCGCGGTGGACACCCCCTCGCCTGACCTCGGCTTCACCTGCCCGCTGCCGTCCGGAGTGGGCGACCACGACCTGCTCACCTGTGGCCAGTGCCAGATGACCTTTCCTCTGGGGGACATCTTAGTCTTCATCGAGCACAAGCGGAAGCAGTGCCAGGCTTTGGGCGGGGGCACCGGCTGCTACCACAAGATGGGGGAGCCGGGAAGCCCCTCACCGCGGCCCGAGCCCAGGAAAGTGGTGGAACCGGTGGAAATCGGGATTCAGGTGACGCCTGAAGAGGACGACGAGAGAATGCTGACACCTACTAAAGGAATCTGCCCCAAGCAGGAGGGCACCCCCGCAGGTAGGTCTGTCCCTGCGCAGTTCCGGTCACACCTACCCCCGTGATAATCACAAAGGCACACTCCCGCTCGCTCTCCCGTCGTGTGCCGTGGCGCGTAAGGAAGGGCCAAACCGCTCCCGTTCAGGAACGTCAGGCTTAAAAGGTGGACAGATCATTAAAATTCAGACACTCCAGAAAGGGGATTTAGGGGAGCCACTCGCACAGCCTGTCAGCGGACCGAGCGGCTGTGCGGCCCCCCCGGATCACCTGCAGCTGCTATCTCACATACTTAGGCATATTTACTCGGGAACAAGACAAATTGCAGCATACAGGCGGGTCACACGGGCGGCAGGGAAGCAGACAGATCAGGCAGGGCGCAAGACAAACAGCAAACGCAGTAAAATAACCCGCGTGAAGCGGCTTGCGGACTCCTGATTGGCCTGCAGAGAGCTGGAAAGAGACAGACATTTAAATGGTAGCTCATCTTAAAATAAAAGTGAAAACGCCAGAGCTGGATCTAATTTAACACACCTGCGACAGAGGCAAGTTAACACACAGTACAGTTTACAAGCAACTGGTTCTAAAAACATTATTCCTGTTACACAAATATATTATTCATAAACAACATATTATGTACAGTAATATGTTGCAGTAATAGCGGGATGAATTTGTCATGATGCCAGTAGTTTATAATGTATGGCTGTGAAGTGATCTGTGTTCAGATGAATAATTCACAGGTTGAACTACTGGATTTTTGGGCACATCCGCTATAGGTTGCGGTATTAATTATAGCAAAAAGTGAGCACTGGAGATTTAAGTAAAAGGCCACTTTAAATGGATTATAATACTCACACTTGAATATTTAAGCAACCAACGTACAGAGAGAAAGTTCTAAAGCCACAATAATATGATAGAGAAGCTACTGTATCCACTCTGGGGCAGTAATACTCATCTTTCCGGAGGTCTTAGCTTCAAGTGACAAAAAAAACCCTGATATTAAATTTTTTTGAATAACCAGTTATAAAAATTTTGACATGAAAAATATAGCTTTGTAATTCAGATGATAATCCTTATAAGAGAATCTTACACCTTCCATAAATGAAGCCTTGGACAGGAGGAGGATCTGGTGTCAGGCTGAAAGACAGCGAGATGAGATGTCCACAGAGGGCGATTAAACAGCTTAAATGCCAGTTTGTGCACTCAGCTAAGGACGTCCTCCACAACGCACGCTCATAATTGCCTCCCAGCAGGTTAAAGCATTCGAAAAAGTTTTCGGTTCCATTTGTTCTGATCGTGGAAGGGAAAATCATAAACACTCCAAGCCAGAGTTTAAAAATAGAGCCGTTACCCCTGGTCTCCAGGCTGCCATCATTCTTCATGAATTAGTTTTTTTCATATATCCATCTGTCACTTTGTAGTGAAGCAATAAGATGGGGAAGATAGAGGTTTGGAGCCTTAGACCGACTCACAGAGGCTCCTCCTCCCAACCCGGGGCTTGTACTTGTACATACAGAGATGCCTCTCAGACTCCGATCCCCTTTTGCTTAGACAGCCCAGCCCGATGAGAAGCATTTTCCACACTTGATCACTTCATCCGTTTGTTGTTCTCCGTCAAGCTAGTCAGTCTCTTCCTGCCAGTGAACGGCACTCACTGCCTAGCGAGAGACTGCCACCGGTCACCAGATGAATGACACTGGGAGGTGGGAAAGGTGTTCAGGTCTGAGGATGCTGTATATCAAACCGTGAATTAGCATTGGGCGGTACCTCATTTTAAATTCCGTTATACCGGTATATGTGGTATTTTGATGGTAAAATATACCGAATAGAGGGGCACAGAAAAATTTTCCAAAAGGCTGATTTTTAATCAAATGTATATTGTGTTACTGTAATACTGCCTAACTCTACCTCTATGCCGGGTGGTACAGACGAGGATGGTGGAGATGTGGAGATTAGCCACACGTGTTCACACTCCGAGGGACGTTTATATTACAGTGTGTAGACTAGGCGGTACAGAGCAGGATGAGATGACCAGCCAGGCATGTTCATGGTTTGAGGATACAGATCATTTTTATTTGTGATGCCTGATGTCAGGTGCCAGCTGTGAATATTTAATGCGATAAAACATATTTGCGGTGACATCTACCTGGGGAAGATGCACCGGCTGGATCAGTGCACATCTCCACTGCGTCCACTGCGTCCACTGCGCAGTTAATCTGAGGCTAATCTGCAGGCACGCACACCGCAGCTGAAGCTGCAGAAGGAATCTGCTGTTAATGATGCTGATTGAACTGCGGCGGGTTCGGGTCGGGGGGATCCCGCTCAGACGAGCTGCTGGAAGCCATCAGCCAAGCAGATTCTGCCCCTTTGTGGTCGCTGGCTGTTTCTCCGTGTGGAGGGCTTCCAACTCTTTGTAGGGTTTACTATTTCAAAGTCGGCCATTTAATCGATTAATTAAATTAACTGCGAGAGCATCTTCCCACTCGACATCGGGTCAGAGGGAAGCCATGAAGAGCAGCAGCACTGAGGCAGAGGAAGGAGTGCGAGTCAGGGAATGGCTGCCAGGACATTAAAGCCGTGAAAGGAAAACACCAGAGCATGATATTAAGGCTGTTCAACATGTAGCCATGTTGAATATTATTTGTAATTTAGTCGTCTAAATAGTGCCTGTAAGTGGAGGTCCTTTCCAACCAGCACACTGGCTGAACGCAGGCTTGGCCCACTGTACAGGAATTTCACTTCCTAATTCCAAGCCCTCTGTTCCTACTTGCTTTTTGATCATCTGCCCAGAGAGATTTGTTTCTGCTGAAGGTGCCCTCGGGGTCACCTGCCAGCCCTCGGTGCCAGCTCTTGGGCCGATGAACGCGGGTGGTACTGTTCTGGTTGTCTTTTTCCTTTTGAGTATTAATTTTCAGCTTTTTATTATGGGGGTTACCGCTGATTCCAACACAAAGGGTAAAGTTCCTGCGTTGTTGTGAGGTTGTAAACTGGACGGGATGAGGGGTTTGCAATGTCGTCGTACAGCAGGGACAGAATATGGCAGTAAAGGCTTTGCAATGCACACACACACACACACACACACACACACACACACACACACACAGAACGTTAGCTGAAAGTTAGCCTGATTGTCATGCAGAAAAGACTCGGACCGCCAAACCGATGTTCTTGAGATGCTGCGTGTTTAACGGGCTTAACGGGTTCTGAGCGGTGATGGATCACCACGCAACCTCGCATTAACGCCGCTGGTGGCCGTTTCGCTGCCTGACTCTGATGCGGCGTCTGCTTCGCTCGGCTGGTTCTGACGGCTCTTGCCGTATCTCGGATCGTAGACGTGCTCTTGTGTTTGGTGTTTATTCCTTCCACCCATTGCTGTTTTGCATAACCACAGAATGTGCTTCTGGAATCATTAATAAATTCCGCAGTACAGTATTACATATATGGGCGTATTAATATCCGCAGTGCTACATTGTGACAGAATGACTTATTCCCGTTTTGGGTTCACGATCCATGAAAGGCGGTAGCAGGCAGAACCCAGACAGAGTCCTTCCTAGGAGCTACGCTTCGGGCTGCTGTGGTTTGGGTCCATCTACGTAACCTGTGTCTGCGTGGCACCACCGGTGACAGCCAGGAAGCAGCAGTTTCCTGGGCCCGGCAGCAATGCGCCGTTTGCTGCGAGGCGAGCCTTTCTGCTGCGGTGCTTCAGCGTGGGCCGCCTTCCTGAGGGCATGGCTGCACGTGACCCAGTGCAGCGGCCCACGGCGGGGGGGTCTGGGGTCGCTTCGGCTAATCGCTAACGGGTGACAGGGCACATGCTGTACATCGTTAATATGACGGACGCCCCCTGCGGCAGAATCGGCCCTTTGGTGAGACGCATACTTTTCCTGAGCTTAATCCAGACCCAGGAAACTGCTACCTTTATGCAGCGTTTGAAATCATTTCCAAATCCCGCTTCTTGGGCCAGGTCCAGCCGCTGAAGGAGAGCGAGCGGCGTCAAGCCTCTTCCCCCATCAGCAGGCCTCAGCGACGCAACGTGGCTGCGCTCCTTAGTATCCTCAAATCCCTTTTACATTCTTGCCTCGTTGCGTTTTTTTTTTTTTTTTGTTAATCACTTTGCATGCACTCATTTAAATATTAAAATTTTCTTTAATCATCAAAGCCAGTGAGGCTCATGCATATTCATATGTTTCCCCCCTCTCTTTGGGCATTACAGGTTCATTACCTCCCTCCAAAGCCAAGCCGTCATTACCCAAACCCAGGGCTTTAATTACGGCAGACCGGCGCTGCCGTCTCTCGCCGGCAAGCATCTCACCTCCATAAGAATACAGGAAACTCATTTCTCAAGTTTAAAATAACTTTACATCATTCTTATATGCTCACTCTACTTTGGAAAGAGAGCGAGAGAGAGCGAGAGAGAGCGAGGGTAAGCGAGAGAAGCGGTTCTTTGGCTGGAGCACTGAATATTTGTCAAGAGGCTTGACGAAACTTTCATTTGCATAATGACTTTGTAGTTCTGCATTAATAAAATTTGCATATGAAGTCGTGTTAATTACTCCTGATCAGGCTTTTTTGCATTCATGCATGGTAATTTTCTGTGACTTGTGAGAATTGTTGTCCCAGCATCAGGGCCCTGACTGGCTTGGGGGGGGGCGGAAAGGGGGGGACTTGCTGGCGAGGCAGGGGGGCGAACTCTGTGTCTGTGGATCTTTACCTCACGCCTGTAACATCTCCTGTAACAAGTGCAACACGATTAGATCCAGGAAGGGACTAAACGCATCAACAAACAGCTGCTTCAAATCCGCCCCTTTATTTCAAAGTCGACTTTACTGCCAGGTGCTTGCAGTTTAGACGGTATGATTTCAAGCGAGAGTGTTCATGTGGAAAATGACACGATTAGAGGCAGCCATTTTTTTTTTCAGTTTTCATTATTGCAGCCCCCTTTAGTGTTGAAGTACAGTCTTCAGAGCAAGTGAACAGTGTTTGTATCACATGTAAGCTGGAAGCTTAAGAAGAAATCGATTTAGCACAGGGAATTCGTACAAGCAGGCTGTTCCAAAGCACTTCACAGGAATTTACACACATTTTTCTAGAGGGAATCAAAAAAAAACCCAAACTGCTACTAGCAGGAGAAGTAAAAATGCTGCCCTAAGCACTTTAATGACTTTAATAAATGTACGAGCGACAGCTGTAAATAATCTGCAAAATTAAACATTTTAATCGTGCTGGACAGCAGCTGGGCTAAGCGATGATGTCAATGTGGTGAGCAGGCTGGAAGTGTGGGGCCCACAGTGGGGGGTTGGGGTGGGGGGACACAAGGGGGGCTCCTGATACTCTCGTTTTAACAGTCATCTACACTTTGAGAATAATTTCAGCGCTTACTGAAGCCAGATGAGCAGCTCCTGTTTTTGTGACTCGGAGGCCGCATGTCTGCGTTCATCAGACACTGCAGGGTGACATGCAGAATGAGAGTGAGATTAGGATCAAGCACAGCAGTGCAGCTAAGTATCAGGGCTTCAGGTCTACCAGCCAGGAAGTGCCGGAGAGAGACGTTTAAACTGTGGTCACTGTGGTATTTTCATCTGGGATCAGACTAAACTAAGAGTGCCAGCATTTGACTGCATTAACCCTGTGTGGTGTCAGACAGCGGAGCAACACACAGGCACTTCACTGCTTTTGATGGTCCTCTTGTTTTTTCTTATGACTTGAAGTAGGCTGTGCATACTCTCCAGTGACATGGGGCTGTGTTATGCAGTGAGACAGTGCTGTGCATGATCTACAGTGACACAGGACTGTGTTATGCAGTGCGGTTGTGCTGGGTGTGCTCTACAGTGACATGAGGCTGTGTTACGTGGTGAGACAGTGCTGTGTGTTGACATAGGGCTGTGTTATGCAGTGAGGCAGTGCTGTGCATGCTTTACAGCAAGACGGGGCTGTGTTACGTAGTGAAGCATGCCGTGCATGCTTTACATCAAGATAAGACTATGTTATGCAGTGTGACAGTGCTGTGCGTGCTCTGCAGTGACATGAGGCTGTGTTATGCGGTGAAGCAGGCTGTGCATGCTTTACAGTGACATGGGGCTGTGTGTGCCCTGTGATAACGCAGACACAGGCCTGTGTGAGTTCTGTCATGATATGGGGCTGAAGGTCATGCAGTACTGTGTGCGTACTGTCTGTGCTTTACAGTGACATGGGGCTGCCTTTGTATTATGCAGTGAGGCAGGGCTGTGTGCAGGTACTTTACGGCTGATGCATAGAGGAACATGCTTCTCATTATGCTGTCACACACTCTGCTTGGGCACCAGTGGACAGCAACCCGAATCATGTCCGTGTCGTTGGAACGTGGCTCAGACGCTGTGGATAATTCCGCTAGCAGAGTAACCCAGAGCGTAATACACATAATCACATTAGACCCTTGACCTCGGCCGGGACGTGGTTCTGCTGCCATATCACAGCTCAGCGGCTACACTGATCTCCGACCGGCTTTGGCTTTCCGTGTCACTGAGGTTGCTGTGTGGACCGGCGGCGGGGGGAGCGTGATGCTTTCAATCGCAGCCGTCCCACATCCCAGTCCTGCAGCTCCCATCCCTTCCTGGGAGAGCGGTGCAGCTCTGGGACAGCCGTGATCTGCCACGAAAAACGAGGCAGATGAGGCGGATGAGGCGGCGTGCCGGAGTGTGCGTGACGGAGGCCCGTCCCGCTCGCCCCGCTCGCCACTGCGGAGTTCAGAGCAGAGCTGTTATTCGGGAAGAGAGCCAGCCGGCGGGATGCGATTATCAGGTAGTACAAGGCCTGAGCTCCGGCTCGGCCGCTGGAGGAATTAGTCCATCTCGCTGCTTCCTCTCACATGCAGCCAGCTAATGAGGCCTCTCAGTGCAGAGCCCTGCCGCCAGAAGGGTGAGCCGTTTAGTGCGAGAAATCACCACTTAACAAAAGCTCATTCTTCACTCTGCTGCCTGGGAGGATTAGGGGTGGTGCTCAAATAATGCAAACATTTCTTGCACGGGGGGGTAGAAGGGGGGATTTAAACTGCACTTACAGGGAGGGTGGCTGCTTCTGACAGAGGTGAGAGCGAGCGTGGAGAGCGCCTGGGAGGACGTCCCTGTGCTGAGCCCGCCTGTGCACGTCGGATCCTTTCAGTCACCGCGCAGAAGTATCCAGCAATGCTAATATTTGTGTCCCCCCACCCGTGTAAGAAGGGAGTGCTGGCCTGCTGCGGATATGGCAGGCATGCGGTCGTCGCTTCCTCACCTTTATTGCTCTCATCCATTAGGGATGAGACCTTCCGGGACAGGATGAGGATACAGGCCCGCAGGTGACCCCCCCCCCCCCCGCCCCCACAGGGTTGGAGTCAGGCTCTGACTGGTCATTTTCCGCCACCCTGGGAACATGTTGCTGTTTTTCAAACATTTTACGTGATTTCACTGGGTCCAAATCAGGGCCGCCTCCCACGATGGTTCGGGTGCCTTCCTTTCAGTGAGGAAGAGCGGTTTGCTAGGTGCTAGAGACCTGGAAGAGAGACAGAGTGAGCGCACTGCATGCACGCAGTAACAAACGCTCCACCACTGACGCAGCTGCTCCCCGCAGCCGCAGCCAGCTCCTGTACATGTATGCAGACATCTGAAGGAGATTTTATGGAGCCTCCTTCACCCCCAGCAGCACGCCCAGTGCCCAGATTTTTATAGCCACATTTGAAGTGAACGGGACGCCAGGCCCAGCTGGGCTCGTCATGCTCTGTGTTACCCAGAAACACAACTGTGTTTCATGGGGCCCAGACAGACTCCTGGGGAGCATACTTTAAAGCAGCCCTGAAACGTCACCTGCGACACGCAGTGCGCGTCGCAGTGCGCGCTGCAGTGCGTTCGGCGTCGCAGCCACAAGCTGGTAGCAGAGGCTCAGCAGCCCCTTCCTCCCTGCAAACTGACCCCAGCGCTTCAGAACCCGCTGGCATGTGTGCAGAGCGCATTTGGAGCCATCGATTTGTTTGGCGTAGCGGAGCAGCACGATTGGGGGAGAGATGATGTTGGAAGAGCGCGATTGGGGGATTGACGATGTTGGAAAAGCGTGATTGGAGGAGGGCCAGCGTCGCCTGCAGGCCACATGTGGCTTTGAAGGCCTGTTCCATGTGGAGGGGAAGACCAGGGCTTCCTGCAAATGGAAGCAGATTGGAATAGTTATCGGGGGCTGCTTTTGGTTAGTGTGGAGCCAGCCGAGCTTCTCTGAGCCACAGCCCTCTCCGCAGGGCACGGCGGCTCTCGCCGGCATCAGAAGGCCGCCTTTTTCCATTTAGCTCGTTTTTTTTTCCCTCTGTGGCTGGGAATTAAAAGTGGAGGCAAGAGGCATTCCCCCGCGGAAGCCTTTGGTGGACGTTTTTGGCAGGATTTTAGGAGACAGATCCCGGGTCATCGGCCGGTTTTTCAGGCCTTGGCTTTTTTGCAGAGATAGGTGCGTGCAGTGTGAGATGTGTCTCTTTAGAGAGACTGTAAAAAGTCAAATTAAATGGCCCTTTTTTGTTACCAAGTTATTAATATTCCTGTTCAGGTTAAATGTCACATTTCCCTGGGTTATATATGAGTCACATTTCAGCTCATAAAAGAGGAATATGAGTAAAAAATCTGAAAGTAGTTGAAGGGGAAGATGCAGGCAGTTGGTTGGCCGCCAGTCAGTGCAGCAGCAGGCTGGAGGACCCGACACAGTTATGCAGGCTGCATTTCTGTGCGTTTTCTGTGCAGTTAGCCAATTAAAAATAATGAAGTTGTACTTTTTTGTAGTGTCTGGATGGGGTGAGCTTGCTGGCTTGCTGTGGCCCGACAGCAGGGGGCTGACAAGCGCAGGCGGTGCCAGATGAAGGATGTTCCGACACTCGTGAGCTGCTGAAACACGGCTGCAGAGCACTCAGGTCACTGCAGTGCACTAACGCTACTGCTGTTTTGGCCCCAAAGCCACGTGCCGGACCAGCAGCCGCACGGCTGGTTACGTTTACAGCCGCTTGTAAAACAGGGGTCCGTACTTGTGCATGTCTGATGAGGAAGGATACTGCCGGTCGACTGGGGTGGGCCAGACACCACAGCCAGGTGCAGACGCTGACCTCAGATGAGTCTCTCAGACGACACATGCTGTGCAAACACTGCGTTGGCGCAGTGCGATGTGCAGACACTGGACTGGAGCACCAGATTGACAGTGTGTGTGGGTGTTTAAAGCTGGACTCACACTATGTCCCGTGTAAACACTGAATTGAGACTCTGTTTGAAAAGCGGATCAACACCATGTGCTCTGCAAGCACCAGATCAGCGCTGAGCACTGCGTAAAAACACTGCATGGACTTTGCTGAACACTGTACGTCGATGTTACGTGTAAGGTTGCTGAACATTTACATCCACCTGCTTGCTGACAGTTTGATCTAAAAATATTTAAAGTATTTCTCCATTCATCCAGCAGGATGGTGTGATATCTGGCAATTTGCAGGAAACTACCTACTATCTGCATCTTTTTTTATATAATAATGAGTATAATCCTGGAAGTGTTAATCCAGGTATTTCCGAAAGAGGTACGTTTTTAGTCGTCGTTTGAAGGCACCCAGTGCCTCGGCAGTTCAGACACCTAGTAGAAGTTCATTCCACCACTTTGGTGCCAAAACAGAGAAGAGCCTCGATGCATGTCTTCCTTGCGCCTCGTGGGATGGTGGAACCGGTGGGGCGGTGCTGGAGGATCGGAGAGAACGTGGTGCAGTGCACAGACAAACCTCATGTGGCGTTAGCGCAGACGAACGCGAGTGGCTCTTCTCGTGTCACCCGCAGGCTGCTCCAGGACGGGCTGGGGGCACGTGCACCTTGGTTCTCACCCCGCTGACTGAGAGCAAGTCTCGGGACCTGAAGCAGATGTACCTGGTGAAAATCAGGCTGTAACTCGACAGCCAGCAGGTGGCCGGAAATTACACTGGCACTGGTTATTTAATCCAAATCTATGCTTAGACTCTCATATGACAGCTAGCATAGGTTCTGTTTTCAGAGCTGTTAAAGTGAACACCTTATCCTAATCTACAGAAGAATGCCGCGCTGTAATACAACATACACGCATCATATTCCTCCTAGGAAAAGGTGGCCATGCTGTCACACTGTCCACGTTCACATGCTGCACTGCTCTAATGACAGGATTATACAATATTTACCTCCTTCTTCACCTGCGGTTTGGAGCGATGGGATTGGTCCCACAGCTGACGAGAGCCTTCCCCATCTCTTTGGGATTCTCTGGATTGCGGGGTGACGCCTAAACATGAAACGGTTTATTACACAGAGTCCTTATTGCCAAAGGGCTTAGTGGTTTTTACAGAGCGACTGCTAGGCTCAGGTGAGCGCTAGGCTAATCCACCGCTGTCTGTAACACGCGGTGGGGCTCGCGTGGATTGCAGCCGGCCGTCAGCTGGCCCTGTCCTGCCTTTATACCTGCAGAGGAGCACATCTGGTCACATCATCTGGTTGCTTGCTGAGGTGTACACTATGTAAAGCATCGAGCTGCGTTCCTACGTATTCATGATGAAAGCATGCTCAGTTTACATAACCCGGCCTCAGTGCCCGATCCACATCCTAGTCTGCCACGCTGAGCTCATTCACATGATATTATGGATGCCCCGATTTGCCGCCATGACATTACATTACAAGATATTAGCAATTTAAGGTGAGGCTTGTGAGAGTAGCAGATCGGACTCATTGGTAACCAGCCACAGCACCACGATGATGTCCTGTAGGGCCCCGGCACCTGACCTGGGACCAGGCTGCACAGTGACTCCCTGGTTTTCATTCCCAGCCTTGGAAAGCTGAGTAGGAGTGAAAGCAGAATGACTTTGGTGTGTGATGGTAATTGTTAAAGCTTATGAATAACATGAGGACCTAAGCGTGATAAACTGCGGTAGATGGGAGTACAAGACAAGCTTCTGGGTTTACAATCAAGGAATTACAGGGAATGCTGGGGACCCGGAGGCAGGCCGGGCGAGGGATGTCCGACCCGGAGGCAGGCCGGGCGAGGGATGTCCGACCCGGAGGCAGGCCGGGCGAGGGATGTCCGACCCAAAGGTGGAAGTTGGCAGGCCGGCAGCTCTTAGCTCTAACCCCAGTGACCCAATGCAAGGGTATAACATGTGTTAAGCAATGGGGGCCGGGGGGATGGGGGTTGAGGTCTCCACCCATTTAAGGATGTCCGGGGGGGGGGGG